CTTTACTTCGTAAAGATTAAAAGCCGGGCCCAGTCTCGCACAACAGCTAGCAGGCGGTCGAACCGATAAGCCGAGCCCCGGCTTGCACGTTCTTGCCGACCTCAAAGCACCCACAGGGTAAGCCGGACACCAGAGCCGCACCTAAAAAGTACGACGAGTCCGTCTCGACTACACCGTCCTAAACTCGGCATTTCGAAACAAACATATAAGATAAGCCAAGAGACGTCTTGCCCTGTAATATTTGTACCGAAGCCGAGCTGCGTAAATAAAGCCGAGCCACGCCTCGCACAAAAACAACGATAATAACCAAAAACAAGCAATAACAAGGTAAAAATAATCACCAAGTCATGAGACTAAAAGAAAACAAACGAAGTTCATGGCAAAGACCCAACAGAGGGCCGAAAGTACATAACGACGGTCCAACGAGCCACAAACGGCCGGACAAAGTTCATAGCAACAAAGGAAAGGGAAATAAAACGCAAGCATACGAAACAAGTAATAGGCGAATCACTCATTGGCACCTCTAGCACCATCTCTTGGTGGCACCTGAAGGGGTTCGAGGTCACTCTCGAAAATGTCCGGAACCACAATCTCGTCAAACTTTCGCTGCCAAGCCGGACGATCCGCCGCCAATCTCGCCATCCTCTCCTCAGGAATAACCGTCCCTTTATTGATCATCTTCTCAAGGCACTCCTGAATTCCTTTCACCTGACAGAGCGTATACTTAGGAATACTCTGAGCTCGCAGACCGATTATATGTTTTCTCAGCCTCTCTATGCGAGCATGGTTATCCGCGGCCTCAACTTCTGCCTTGTGACGCTCCACTGCAGCAATCTCGTCACGAGCCTTCCTAAGCCTCGCAACCTCCGACGCAAGTTTCGCCTTAGCAGCCTTGAGTTGCTCCCTAAGTTCGCTTATCGTCAAATCGAGACCGCCAACCTTCGCTTTCTCGGACTCGTAGTCCCCCGTACGAGCAGCGACAGACCTCTTGGCAGCTTCCAGAGCAGCCTTGAGCAGATCGTTCTCCCTCATAGCGGCCCTCACCTTCTCCTCATAAAAGCCAACCAAGCGGTTCATCTGGCTCATCGACTGTAAGATAGGTAAAGTCAGAATCCGGAAGCGCACCAAAATACTAAAAGGACACAAAGGCAGGAGAAACAAACCTGAAAATTCCGACGAGCTGCATCGCGATAGAGGTCCGCCCCAAGAAGAGAATCAACACGAGGAAACTCAGTGAAATCACCGCGAATCTTACTCGCCAACTCCGCGCAGGCACCCCCATCGTAATGAAACATGTGATTCTTCGCGCCATAGTTGAAGGAAAACGAATGATCAACTCCTTCACAGGCTTCCCGAACTGGTTCTTCGCGCCTGGCAGACCTTCCGACGTTTGACGGCCCAGCTTCTGGACTACGACGCGAAGTCCTCTTCCGCGAACGTCCACCCCCGGCAGATGGAGGAACACTCCCCGTCGCCCCTCTCGAGGCTTTCTTCTTAGCACGAGCGGCATCAATTTCCGCCGACCTAGCTCGACGAGACGCATCTGGCTCGGCACACGCGTCTTCTGCCACGACTGCCTCGACAACCACACCTTGACCCGTCTCGTCAACCAACCCCTGCAGACCATTCCCGTTCAAAGGCGCGACGTCTTCATCAAACTGATCAGCGTAACTCGGAAGAACACAATCACCCATCCTCAAACACGAGTAAGAACCTACAAGAAAAATTCTACGTAAGAAACGCAATAGCGAAGGCCTAGATGAACGTAAGAATGGTTAAAGAACACTCACAAGTGCGAAAATGATCAAGCACGTGTGGCCAAGACAAAGCTCTCTTCGCCCGTAGAATATCAAGACTTGAACGATCGCCGTCGGTCAACCCGTCTGGCCGTTCTACAAACCCTGCAATACCAACAAAAAGAAATTTGTCAATAGTCAGCGAAGGAACAAACCTTGTCGAGCCCGGACCAACTAAGAACTACCAGGATCCATCTTCCACACGTTATCACACGACAGATGAATATCTTCAACCGACGCTTCGTTTAGCTTCACAAAGAAGTAACGTTTCCTCCAATCGTTCGTCTTCTTCTTAGCATCATAGATAATCTTAAAACGTCGCCTCGAACTCGCGCAAACAATGCCCGGATTTTTCTGTCCAATCGAAAATGTAGTAACCGCTTCGAAAAGGTTAAGATTCACAACTATGTTCTCCTCCGCCGCCATTATTACGAGGCCGACCGCGTTCCGGATGCTAGCCACAGACAGCTGAGAAAACGCGATATTCCGCCGACTACAATAACTCGTGAGAAATTCTGGAAGAGGAAACCAGAGCCCGCACTCTGTGAAATAGGGTTCATAAACACATATGTATCCATCAGGACAATCAGAAGGACGTTCGTGCGCTTCGGGCGCAAGAAACTCCACGTTGGCAGGCAGCTGACATTGTGTAAACATTTTCTTCAACGAATCCAAAGTGCTCGCCGACTTCCCATGACCGTACGAAAAACAAGTCTCGGTTGAACTCTCTTCAATCACTGCTTTGGCTTTCCTACTACGATTCTTACGAGGATTAGTAATCGTGCTCGGAGCCCTCAAACCCATCACGATCGGTGTCACCTCACGAACCAAGTGCTCAAAAATCTTTCCACGACGACTTAAACTTGGCCCGGCCTCCACATTCTCCGGAGCTAACAGGCTATCGAGATATTGCGCATCTTCCTCGTTCAAATCGGCAAGAGTATCACCAGCCTCCGTTTGTCCAATCCATGCATCTTGGTCCGCTCCGAAACCATCCAACGTTTGCTCCAATTGGCGATATTCGTCAACCTCCAACTCTTCGCGAACGTAGTCTTCCGGAAAACGAGGCATCGAATGGAACCTTGCAAAACCAACCAAGACATGAATCAGAGACTCGTCACGAACTAAACAGAACCGGCCGTGAATTAGGCCCACCTCGCAACAACGTCGTTTCACCACCATGTCGCCTCATCGTCAGCACATCACGAAGACAAGACAAGACAAACCAAAAGCACTCATCAAAGTTTAAGCAACACCATCTCAGTCTCGACGAGGCACCAAACCTCCGCGGATCAACAATTCTCGGCTCGACGTGATTTGACCAAGGCGTTGCCGCGGCGGATCAACAAACCCTCGGCTCGGCATGGTAGTGGACCCTTGGTGCGGCAAAGTAACCCGCGGCAAGGTTCTAAGCGAACCACCCGTTCGATACGTGGGCTCGGGAACTCCAACGCGGCTCGGCAGCTCGCGGTCCGGCACGGCAACTCGCGGTCCGGCTCGGCGATACGCAAATCGGCAAGGTTCTCACAATGCGGCAAGACAACTCCAATGCGGCTCGGCAGCTCGCGGTCCGGCACGGCAACTCGCGGTCCGGCTCGGCGATACGCAAATCGGCAAGGATCTCACAATCGGCAAGGTTCTCACGATGCGGCAAAACAACTCCGGCGCGTCCCAAGACGCGGCAAACTCCGGTGCGGCACGGCGAGATACGTGAACTCCCGAGGTGCGGCAAGCTCGTTCGGCGCGGTGAACTCCGGTGCGGCACGACCGGTGCGGCACGTCCGGTGCGGCACGTCCGGCGCAGCACGTCCCGCGGCTCGGCGAGCCCCCGGCAACCCATGACCAAACCAAATAAAAAAAAACAAACTAGTGAAAAGGGAGAGAGAGAGATGAGTTTTACCTTTGGAGAAGAAGATGTGAAGAAAAGGTTAAAGTAGAAAATGGGAGACATATTTATAAGGAGGAGACATTGCACATTTACCGAGGTAAAACTATTGACCTAATTCTCTGGATGCACAACCTAGCCCGTCTCGAAAAACGTGTCGAAGTCACAAATCTCCCGAGAAGGTATCGGTTCGTCTCGAAAAACGTGCCGAAGTCACAAATTTCCCAAGAAGGTGTCGGTTCGTCTCGAAAAACGTGCCGAAGTCACTGCTCACCCGGAGAAGTTTCGGTTCGTCTCGAAAAACGTGCCGAAGTCACAAATCTCCCGAGAAGTGTTGGTTCGCCTCGAAAAGCGTGCCAAAGTTACTGTTCACCCGAAGAAGTGTTGGTTCGCCTCGAAAAACGTGCCAAAGTTACTGTTCACCCGGAGTAGTTTCGGTTCGCCTCGAAAAACGTGCCAAAGTTACTGTTCACCCGGAGAAGTTTCGGTTCGCCTCGAAAAACGTGCCAAAGTTACTGTTCACCCGGAGAAGTGTTGGTTCGCCTCGAAAAGCGTGCCAAAGTTACTGTTCACCCGAAGAAGTGTTGGTTCGCCTCGAAAAACGTGCCGAAGTCACTATTCACCCGAAAAAGTTTTCGTTTGTCTCGAAAAGCAGGCAAAGGCTACAAGACGATTTATTCAAGTCATACTTTGTTTTGCGCCCAACTAACATATTTCAACCTCGAAGACATGCCCGTCAAGCTCAAGCACACTCTTGCACGACGGACTAAGGGGGGGGCTTATTGTTGGACATGGGCCTTGCCCCATATATGTTAGGAGGCCCAAAACAAATGTCCACAAGCTTATAACGGGCCCTGGTCACTATAAAGAGCCCACTAAGCCTGGAGGGGCAAAACCGTCATTTACAGAGGAGACAGAAGGAATTTAGGGTTCCTGTTCCCTATAAATAGCCAAAATCACTATTGGGAACAGGATCCGATCCAGAGGTTATTAACTAGCAGATAAGAAGAATCGTCGCCTAGCCCGAGTTTCGCCGCTTCGCTCGTTTTCGTATTCTGTCTTTCTGTTTCGTACGTTAAGTGTTCGGCTCGGCGGATAGTCTATAACCGCCGCGGCGAAACTTGCATCTTGTAATCTCTTGATCGCTTATATCGTTAATAAAAGGACTAGCTCCGTTCACCCCCAAAAATCTCGTATATTATTATTGTTACAACCTAGGTACAAACATATACGGATGAGGTGAAAACACTGAGAGACGAGATGGTTCATAGGGAACAGAGAGGTGATATAGAACTGCCTCAAGAAGGGTATTTCTTTACGCACAATAATCAAGTATTGAACGAAGATCAGTCATACGAGTGGAACGGTGTTAAACCCGTGGATACAATTGTGATGGTTCCAAGACATGTTATCCAAGAGACCTGTAAGATTCAAGATTCTTCTGTGACGGTTCAAGTGCCTCAAACGGAGCAACCTCCAGCGTCAAACTCAGTCAGAGAGACCGTTAACACTCAAGATTCGTCTTTGAAGGTTGGGGGCATGTTAGTACGTGTGTTACCGATAAATACTCTGGTGAAAGTGAACGCTACGGATGACGTGAAAAAACTGAGAGAGATGTTGTTTCAGAGTCAACAGAGAGGTCAGATACAAAAACTGCCTCGAGATGGGTATTTCTTGACGCACAAAAAGAAAGTATTGAAGGAAGATCAGTCATACGAGTGGAACGGTATTAAAAACGCGGGTACAATAGTGATTGTTCCCAGACGTTGGACCCAAGATACGAGTAAGATTCAAGATTCGTCTGTGACAGTTAGGAGAAGCAACAGGAATCATCAAGTGCTCCAAACAGAGCATATCATCAACAGACCTCAAGATTCGACTGTGACGGTTCAAGTGCCTCAAACGGAGCAATCTCCAGCGTCAAACTCAGTACTCAGTCTCGAAGAGATCTCTGACATTTTAAATGCGCCTGAGAATGACCCGAAGCAGAAGAAAAAAGTATATGTGATGCCATTTTCAATTGAGTGTAAAGGTGTGAAGAGATTTATTGAGGTGGAATTGAGCTCGACGGATCAAGTGAAAATACTGAGAAACGAGTTGGTTGAAAGTATTCGGAGGGGTTATATAAAACTGCCTCTTGAAGGATATTTCTTTGCGGACAGAAAGAAGGAGAGAATATTGAATGAAGATCAGTCATTCGAGTGGAACGGTGTTCTTGGTCCAGCCGAAACAGTTTATATGGTTCCCCGACGTTATGAGTTGTCTTTTACTCGTGCCTCTTAAGTCATAGTTTTCTTTGGATTCAAAAAAGTTGTTTAGAAATTTTGTATATCCAGAAACAAAAACTATGATACATTCAGCAACAGAAAGTTATGTGGATTTTTATCCTATTTGTAGGTTTATATCTTTTCTTCAAGTTCTCTTGTTTTGTTCAAAGTTTGCTTTCTATTTCACAGCTGAAACTTGTTGACAAACCCTAATTGCAGTTGCAGCAAACACAACTTTGAAACACTAGTAGCACAAAGATTAACAGAAAGAGAAAGAGACCATCAAACATTTGGTGTCTTTGTGGTGACTGTGGAGAATGTATTTCTTAAACATCAAAGAACAATATATAAATCTCATTGCAACATCAAATGGCAAAACTTATTCATAGTGAACTTATTCAAAGTGAACTTATTCAAAGAATGCTTTGTGTAATTTAGTAAGAAGACTAGAAAAGCTAAGAATGAAAAATATTATTGGACGAGGCTTTCATTAGACTGAAGAAGAAAGTCACGAGTGTTAAATATGGACCAGGCCCAAATGAGGTCCATTGATATATACTAAACCGAGTCACCCAAACCACTTGCCTTTTAATTAGACTCGTTCACCAACTTGATACAAAAAAGTCTCCTTTGCAAATCATGCAAAAATATCCAATAACACTAAATAATGGATTATTTCACAATTTATTTTACAATAAATAAGTTACTTTTCCTAGAAAATCTCTGATTTTATACCCACTTGCATTAGAAAATGGCCAAAAAAACAAAAAAAGGAAGAAAAGACGAGATAGGCTTTGATGAAGTGGGACCCGCAGTTTAATTATTGCCAATTTTCAGCTCCACCGTTTATTAAAAAAATAAAAAAAGATATCATAATACTACAAATCGTGACGATCGTTAAGTCTCTCAACTCTCAACGTCTGGATCTTATAACAGCCGTTAGAAATTGTGGTTGTCGACAAGTTTGTGAATAAACGGCGTTAAAGTGGTTGAAGCCGGCACACGGGTCGTGTTTATCAACTCAAAGCACAAATACTTTTCCTAACCTAAAAATAAGGCAATTAGCCAAAAAAAAAACCTAGCGTGTAAACAACGCTCAATACACGTCATTATACATACGTGTCAATTTATTGTTGGTTATTGCTTCACCGCCTTAGCTTTCTCGTGACCGAGTCGTCCTCGTCTTCTCTTTTCTATAAATCAATACCCAAAGACCTCATCTTCTTCACAATTCAGTTTCCAAATTTCTCAACAATCTTAAAACCATCCTCTCAAATCTCTCAACCGTGATCAAGGTAGATTTCAGTTTCTTCGAATTGTTTCGTTTGATCGTGATTGAGTTTCTGTTCTTTAAATTTGATTCTGTTTATTTTTGATCGGAGACAAAGTTCTGAGTTTCTTCGTTAGATCTCATCTTAATTCTCGATTAGGGTTCGTAGTTTTCGTTGATCTGTGTTTTTACGCGTTGATTCTTTGAATTTGATCCGATTTGTTCCAAGAAATTGAGTTTTATATGTGAGATCTATCCAGATCTGGTATAAGTTTCTTGATTGGATCTGATTCTTGTTTGTGCGATCGAATCTGTCAATTAATCTCAGTTTTTCTGAAATTACAGATGCAGATCTTCGTTAAGACTCTCACCGGAAAGACTATCACCCTCGAGGTGGAAAGCTCTGACACCATCGACAACGTTAAGGCCAAGATCCAGGATAAGGAGGGCATTCCTCCGGATCAGCAGAGGTTGATTTTCGCTGGAAAACAGTTGGAAGATGGTCGCACGTTGGCTGATTACAACATCCAGAAGGAGTCCACTCTCCACTTGGTTCTCAGGCTCCGTGGTGGTATGCAGATTTTCGTCAAGACCTTGACTGGAAAGACGATTACTCTTGAGGTGGAGAGTTCTGACACCATCGACAACGTGAAGGCCAAGATCCAAGATAAGGAGGGTATTCCTCCGGATCAGCAGAGGTTGATCTTCGCCGGAAAGCAGTTGGAAGATGGCAGAACCCTTGCTGACTACAACATCCAGAAGGAGTCAACCCTTCATCTAGTTCTCAGGCTCCGTGGTGGTATGCAAATCTTCGTCAAGACGTTGACTGGAAAAACTATCACTTTGGAGGTGGAGAGCTCTGACACCATCGACAATGTCAAAGCCAAGATCCAGGACAAAGAGGGTATTCCTCCGGACCAGCAGAGGTTGATCTTTGCCGGAAAGCAACTTGAAGATGGTAGAACTTTGGCTGACTACAACATTCAGAAGGAGTCTACACTTCACTTGGTCTTGCGTCTGCGTGGAGGTATGCAGATCTTTGTCAAGACTCTCACCGGAAAGACCATCACCTTGGAGGTGGAGAGTTCAGACACCATTGACAACGTGAAGGCCAAGATTCAGGATAAGGAAGGTATCCCTCCGGACCAGCAGAGGTTGATCTTCGCCGGTAAACAGTTGGAGGATGGTCGTACCTTGGCGGATTACAACATCCAGAAGGAGTCGACCCTTCACTTGGTGTTGCGTCTACGTGGAGGTATGCAGATCTTCGTCAAGACTTTGACCGGGAAGACTATCACTCTTGAAGTTGAGAGCTCTGACACCATTGACAACGTGAAGGCCAAGATCCAGGACAAAGAAGGTATTCCTCCGGACCAGCAGCGTCTCATCTTCGCTGGAAAACAGCTTGAGGATGGTCGCACTTTAGCTGACTACAACATCCAGAAGGAGTCGACCCTTCACTTGGTCTTGCGTCTCCGTGGAGGTATGCAAATCTTTGTGAAGACTTTGACCGGAAAGACCATCACCCTTGAAGTGGAGAGCTCTGACACCATTGACAACGTCAAGGCCAAGATCCAGGACAAGGAAGGTATCCCTCCGGACCAGCAGCGTCTCATCTTCGCTGGAAAGCAGCTTGAGGATGGTCGCACTTTGGCTGACTACAACATTCAGAAGGAGTCTACTCTCCACTTGGTCCTCCGTCTCCGTGGTGGTTTTTAAAACTGGTCTCTGTTATGGTTTAAGAAGTTCATGTCTCGTTTCTTTTAAAACTTTGGTGGTTTGTGTTTCTGGGGCCTTGTAAAGCTCCTGATAAATAATTGATGAACTATGTTTCCGTTCCTTTAATCTCCTCTTTCTTCCTAATGACAAATCGAACTTCTTCTCTATTGGAATTATATCCTGTACTTGTCTCTTTATCATCCTTGGTTTTTTACATGATCTTGTGCTTGTTTTGTTTAATAAGCCTGAAATGAGGCTCGACTCTGTTTCCGTGCTGAAACTGTAGACTCAATTTCATGTGTAGCTCTGCGAAACTTCAAACTTGTAGTAGTCCGTTGGTACGCAGCGGAAGTGTTAGCCTATATGTGAGTTAAGAGAGAGAGAACAAGAACATTAAAAATGCCTGTGAAGTGCTTCACGCTTTAGAGGAAAGATTCATAGCAATTTGAAAGCCATGTCCCAGGAAAAACAGAGGACATTACATGAACGATGATGAGTGAGCTTCTTGGTTTATGATGGAGATGAAGTTTCTTTCTTTGAAAGCATTTCACCCTATAATGCCTTATGCCTTTTGTCATCTTCACATTAGTTGTTGGCCTAATGGCAAGTGTTGGCCTCTGGTAGATAATAGCGAAAGTCTTTACATTAGTAACAGCTTATAGGTATATCTTCTTGTGGGTATGCTGTTAAAAGAGAATGAACATTAAAAATGCCAGTATTAGAAGAAAGGTTTATAGCAATTTAAAATCCTTTTCAGGGGATACTTGATGTCTGAGAGGAAACTGCAAGATGCTGAGTCTGTCGATGATGAATGAGACTCATGGTTTAATGAAGAAGATGAAGTTTCTGTTGTGGGAAGTTTGAAACTTTGAAGGAAAGACTGTGATTTTAATTGGTGATCACAAGTGAAAGTGTATGTACATAAGATGGATATTTCTCCTTTTGTTTTTCCATCAATCAAAAACATCATAGTAATCCATTGGGTTATACAAACATCAACATACATTTTCCTCTGAAATGAGGATAAAAATGCAAAAAAGAGTTTGAGAAAATTTCCAGCCAGTGGAGAGTCAAAAAAACAAACAAAGAATGAATCAGTCAAAATACATTATAGAGGTTATGAGACCCTATTTGACACTTATTGGTCAAGTGGTAGCCATTCCATTTCTAGCTCTAATTCTCCAGACTCTACATTCTGAAGCTTGATCTGAACCTCCTGTTTCACTTTCCCATCAACAATGTTAATGATACTGTCATCTATTAGCGGATTATCATGCGATTTTAGCCATTTCCCAATCTGCATATCCCCAAACATTTCTGGATCCCCAAAAGCCATTGCAGATGTTATCAAAGGTTGGATATCAATCTCTGCTTCTCCCATTATGTCATCAGCAGAAAATGTATCATAATCATACACTTGCTGCAATCACATAAGAAACCGTAAGATATATACCAGCTTTACCAATGACCGATATCATCAATAGAAAATCAATTTGCTTTTACCAATTTCACAGGGCCATAGCTCTCAGGAACAGACAGCATGAGTTCTTGATTCCATACCGGGTTCAAATTACTATTCACGACAGTTGTCTGAAGTTTCTGAAGAAACAAGAACAAGTTTACACAAGATTCACAAGACCAACAAGATGTGAAGCTAATAAACAGATGCAAAGCAAATCACTTACTTGCTTCCCTAGATTCAACACAACATATGGATCACTTGACATCATGTCTCTGATTGCTAAGTTAGTACCTTTCTTAATAGTCACCTTCAACAATCCAATAAACTCTACCATTCCTTCCTGAAACTGTCAAATTTACCGATGTCAAAACATGCAAGAAGGTACAAGAAAGAAAACGTTAGCTTATGCAAGTTTGAAGCTTTACCATCTTCTGTGATGATGAATTTGTGCGAAAACTATCCATGATCTTTCTAGAAAGACTTGTTGTAAGAAAAGCTGAACTCTTTGTTGAGCATTTCCCGGATGTAATCCTCAAGCTTGGCTTCAGAAACTCTTGCAGTTCATATTTTGCTCTAAATAAAGATTCAAGGATTTGAGTAACTCACCATACAACAGCGATAGATTTGTCCTGTCACAGA